TCCAGACCAATTATTTTAACTGGAATGTTTTCATCCAGTTCAAGAGAACCTAGCTGATTTTTAAAGTCAGCGAATATTAAAAATTCCTCCTCTTCATAGTCTGATTCTTCGTCCATACTCAAGAATTATAGGATTTTCTGGATCGCGGTTCACACTCATTAAAATTTAACATAAATANGCCCATTGGGTTATCAAAGCTTCCTGTTGATATTTGTTTTTACATACTCTTTTAAGTTAATTATTTAAATAAATATCAAATACCTTTAAATATATTTCCATTTACTTCAGCCACTGGATCACTATCCAGACCAATTATTTTAACTGGAATGTTTTCATCCAGTTCAAGAGAACCTAGCTGATTTTTAAAGTCAGCGAATATTAAAAATTCCTCCTCTTCATAGTCTGATTCTTCGTCCATACTCAAGAATTATAGGATTTTCTGGATCGCGGTTCACACTCATTAAAATTTAACATAAATATAGGACTGCAGAAAAAATATCGATGCATCGGAAACATCGATGTTTGCTATTTGATGCATCGAATAAACCCGATGTTTTGGACCTTGCGATATATATCGATGTATTTTTTTTTCGATGCATCGCCTTTTGTGTGCAATGTACACTGTACATATTAAAATTATTTTGTATGCCCCCAAACTCTTTGTTCTAGTAACTATTCTAACACCCGATTTACATGATTCAAGTACTTCAAGTACTCATTCTCTTTTGTGTTTTCTATTTGCTTTTACACGTTTCAATTCTGTTGAATTCAAGTTTTTGGTTCTATAATTGGGAAGCAACGAAAATGCCAAAAGCAAAGCAAGAAAGTTGAAACGACTTGACGGTACAGACGCATGTGTACTCGTCCCTTTTCTTCTCACCCCCTCTCTTTCACATGCGAGCAGAATTGAATTCAATACTTGAACTGTGTAAAAGCAGTCTTAAAGTAGGCGAAATAGCAGGGCGAACGGTGAACGACGGCATCGGTCAAATCGGCGAACTGCGCCGTTCGCCGGGTATTGTGTTTCAAGCATCAGTTTTACAGATGTTAAAAACGTTATAAGTTCCTGTGCAAAATACGTTTAAAATATTTGAAATTTACTATCGAAAGGTTTTTTGTTGAAAAATAAGTAGTTTATATTTAGCTAGCATCTATTATAGCACGAAAAATTGTAGTTGAAAAGTTAAGTTTATGAAAAGGCTTTGATGAGTGGCAACACTGTAGTAAGCAACACTGAGGGCTCCAGTAATCGACAAAATTCTGCGTATACAGACTGCGGTTAAGTATAAGTTCTGCGTTCTTGACTAATTTCACCTTTAGAAAAAGCGTGTGGTCTCTTTTTTGACCTCGAAGGGAATTTTGCTGAATAGTAGTAAAAGTGCTTCATTATTCGAAGTTTGTTTTGCTCTTATTCGCTGACATTTGTTTCCCTGTTTCGACCTTCGTGCGCCGCGGCATAAGGCATACACAAACGCTATCAGTTGACTGTCTCTGTTTGTTTTCACCCCACCTTTTTGGTGAACTTTTTGCGACTCTCACCTACTGAATAGCCAAATCATCTCAAGTCACAAACGTAGTCACTAATTTCTAATCTCAAATTTAGTGAATTGAGATGAGACTGAATTACTGAATCCCAGGGCATGAATCACGTAACTTTGAAACGATAGTCGTTCAAACGATACTGACAAAACGATGTTGTCAAAACACTGATTTGTGCATTTGTGTTGCTGTTACTGTTACGTGAAGCAAAACTGGAATCGAGTTGACGGTATCGCACAAACGATCAAACAATTTTTGATTTTTATAAAGCAAGATAATCTCAACACGATATCGTTCAGACGATTTTCGTCATACGTGATTCATGCCCAGGGTAGGTGTACCTAGGAGAGAATTGATGTAAGAATCACTCCTTAAAAAGTTTACCACGGCAACTCATCACATCGTAAATAATCTATTACAAATTATGACATATAGGTGACATTTGACTTGACAGTTCGATTTCGCTGCACAAGTTTCTTTCGTACAGCCGGCGGGTGAAGACAGTGGATCTTGCTTTCTTTGTATAGGAAATAACTCGCGTGTGTGAAAGTAAAATAGTTTACTACAGATTATAATCTTGCCGCAATTAGTAACTTTTAGAATAACTTTAATTTAGTTATAAAAATCGGTAAGTACTCACCATTAAAAATACGTTCAATAAAAAAAAAAAAGTTTGTGAAAAGCTGATTTGCTATAAAATAGCGACTCGAATTTCCTTTTTTTACGTGTTCTGCGCACACATTCACGTGTAAAATTATTCGCTCAAAATGGCTGACAGCATTTTGGGCGAATTCAGTGGTGTGCGCCAGTGATCGGACTCAAGAAAATTCTGTGTGGTAGAATCTTGAAAAAAATGTAGATTTCAAAAAAATGTGTAGATAATTTTGGCTATGTGGACGGCTGCATTTGAATTCATGTATTCATAGTCAGCTGTTGAAGCGGCGCCAACGCAATGCCAAAGTTCTATGTGGACGAGCCTTAAGATATTTTTCGAACATATTTTAAGAGATTTCTGCGACCTTAGGGAGTACTGTCAGCTTTTCTTTTTATCACATCACGAAGTAGCGAACAAATGTGCCACGTTCCAGAAACAGCCAATTGGGATTTGCCGATTTTGACAACTCTCAAGTAAAAGTAAACAACGCCTCAAAAACCTTAGATGCACTTAAATATGTACAAGATTAATAGATACAGTTTTTTCATATCAAATAAGTTTAAGAAAATAACTGCTTTTTTGTTATATTTCCCAAAAAAAAATCAACTTTTCCAAGTGTTTTTCTGAAAGGTGGTTTCGAGATTTTGATATACGAGCATGTTCTGAAATTCAAAACTTTGAACTCGACTCGATTTGCCAAATATTTTTTAATTATATCTGATGAAAAGAGTGAATATTCTAATTGAAAACCGTGAATGAAAAACCGATATGAAAAAAATCATTTTAATGTGAGTTTTATAAGTTTTTGGGTTAAAAACCATCGAGAAAATTATCGAAATTGAGTCGATTTTAAATTTTCGAATTTTAGAATATGTCTGATAGTTGTACCTGTTTTTTAGAAAAGCCTCTAGCAAGGGACAGATGACCCAACAACCGTTATGTATAGACAGGCTTGCTTACATAATGCCGAAATGTAGTGCGCAAATCATCCCATTCCTCTAATGGGTTGCTTTTCAAAGATTATGCTGAAGCATAGTAAGTTTTGTGCTTCCGATACAAGTTGTTTTTTTTCGATACCTACTTGAATCGCAGTAAAAGTATCGAGTAAAAAGAACCTGGTATATTGAGAAAATTATCGAGTATGTACTTGGTATGTACTTGTATCGATTTATCCCTAGTGGGAAATGCTCAAAAAAGTGGCAAGTGGAGGTCCGATCACTGGTGTACGCTACGTGTGTGACTTGTCAAAATATTTGAACATAGGGATGCGCGATACCGATACGATATTCAATATATCAATATCGTTGGTCATGATATCGGTTAATTTATATCGATATCACGCGTTGCAATACGATATCGTTCTCTATGAAATCAAAAATTCATAAAAATGTCTAAATTTCTTAAATCAGGTTTGCATGAAAAGGTGTTTCTCTTTGAAAGTACAGACTTGCTTGTAAGAAGAGGTAAATCAAAGTTGTTGAACTTGTTGCTATTTTTTCAAAATCATTAAAGTGCATCTTATCTAAAGTAACTTCGTTAAGTGAATTTATGCTTATTTGCATTTCAGTTCCAATATATCTTTATTGACCGTTTCGTTTTCGATATTTCCGATATTAAATTCATCGATATTAGTAGATATACCGAATACCGATGCCCATAACTAGTGGAATATGAAAACTGAAACACATTTCATACGTCACTGATTTTAGGCAAATCAAAAAGCGAGAGAGCGGCCTGTATAGACGCTTTTATAGTAACACAACAAAGGGAGAATTTGGTAGTCCAACTGCGTCTAGTGAGCTTTTCCTGCGAGGTTGCTTGTTTGAAGGAAGCTTTAAATTATCGATTAGCAAGATGGCAGACGAAGATTTATCGTTGAACGAAGATCAACTGCTGGACAATCTTGACGAGGCAAATGGCGAGCACGAAGCGGAACTAATGAACGAAAACGAGGTGAGTACCTTTAAAATAAAATGCAAACCTTTATAGAAGTACTTTTATTTGGATTTGATATCCAGAATTTGTGAGAAATCTACGGACGTTCTAGACAAAGATATAAAAACCGTCCAAAAGCTCATAAAGACGCCACTTTTCAGCGTTGTATTTCTGTACATTGTTTTGTATGTATGTATGTACATTTTTGGTGGCATTTTAAGTTGTATGCAGTTTTAAGGCAATTGCATCTAAAGTTGAAAAAAATACGATTTCTAAGTGAGTCCTTTTATTTTGTGTTTTTCGGTTCTACGTTCTACCTTCGCGGTGATTTTCCCAAAAGGAGGAAGCCAATATGCAAATCGATCCTGAGCTAGAGGCAATTAAGGCGCGTGTTAAGGAAATGGAGGAGGAGGCGGAAAAAATTAAGCAAATGCAATCTGAGGTTGATAAGCAAATGGCGGGCTCGACGACGGGTTTGGCCACTGTGCCATTATCTTTGGAAGAAAAACAAGAAATTGATACGCGTTCTGTATACGTGGGCAATGTAGATTATGGCGCTTCGGCTGAGGAGTTAGAATCACATTTTCATGGCTGCGGTACCATTAACCGAGTGACAATTCTGTGCAACAAAGCCGACGGTCATCCCAAAGGCTTCGCTTACATTGAATTTGGTTCAAAGGAATTTGTTGAGACCGCTTTAGCCATGAATGAGACACTTTTCAGAGGCCGGCAGATTAAGGTGTGTATACATACATATGTATGTATATACATACATATGTACTTACATATCGCACGTTTAATATACAGAATTATTTAAAAATTTCAATTTTGTGGGAAAACGCAATCAAAATTGGATATATTCATACAATTGATATACGAAAAGGAAGATGGAAATATACATATCGAGCCCTAACCGCCAAAATAACGTAAGCGACATTTTNTAGTTGATATATGTACGAAAAGCAAGATGAAAATATACATATATTCACCATTTTCGGGAAGTTTAGTCAATTAAGTTTAATTGTATGATCAAATCTTCAAAAACGCAAATTTAGAATTACATCCCTAAAACGTGCGATATGTTTATACGTGTTTCGTGGAATTTTGATGCTATTCTGGCATCTGTTGAAACCCCCCCAAATGCTTGTTTGCATTCTTGCAGGTTATGTCTAAGCGCACCAATCGCCCTGGNCACCATTTTCGGGAAGTTTAGTCAATTAAGTTTAATTGTATGATCAAATCTTCAAAAACGCAAATTTTGAATTACATCCCTATAAACGTGCGATATGTTTATACATGTTTCGTGGAATTTTGATGTTACTCTGGCATCTGTTGCTTGTTTGCATTCTTGCAGGTTATGTCTAAGCGCACCAATCGCCCTGGACTTTCAACGACTAATCGTTTCGCTCGCGGCAGTTTCCGTGGCCGGGGCGCACGTATATCTCGCGCTTGTTGCCACACTTCCTTCCGAGGTGCACGTCGCCCAATGTAAGTGTTTTGCCGAAAATATACGCAGAGCTCTTCAGAATTTAACACAAATTCTGCTTTTGTTTCAGAAGGGGTTATCGTGGACGTGCAAATTACTACGCACCCTATTGATTAATGTTTTATTCTTATTTCTAAGGTAAGTCCTTGCATTTATTTTTCCACATTTATATAGTTTTTGGCATTAAGCTTCATTACCCTCATCGTTTGCTTTTCTAAAACTTAGAGCATGTTTATTTGAAAATTTAATTATCGTACAGTTGAGATCGAGTGCGGGAATTTTTCAAACATTTTTGTTTAACATTTGCACTTTGCTATTGCTATGCTAAAATTTAATTGGCTATGAAACGGCACACGTAGGCTTTTTCTTAAAATTCCAGAGACTGAAAATAAAAGTTATTTAACAATTTTTGACATCTAAAAGGCATAGTGAAAAAATTATTAATGAAGGCATTTTTTGTTAGCGGAATCAGATCTGCACCGATTATTCGATTTTCAAAACTGCGGTTCCAATTAAAGTGTTGGCCTCTAAATGTACAGCATGGTATGACTTTTTTGGAAAGGATTGCCCCCTTTTTTAAATTATAAAACTTGCACCATTCGTTGCATAAAAAAAATTAGGTGTCGAATGAAGGGTGTGCAAGAAGGTTTAATTTTTTGAAGAGAGTTGCCACCTGCTTAAAAACCCCACATAGAAATGTACAAAAAGGTGCATAGTGCAAACCTAATTTATGAATGAACTAGTCTCGGAAATTTGAAACTTTGTTTTAAATTAAACTTTAATTCTTACTACATTTGTTTAAGTTCTAAATTTGGGTCTGCGTGATACAACAGCCCCAAAATCATTGAACAAATAACTAAACCGTAACCCAGCTTTTGGATAAAGCGCAACATTTTTTTTCTCATTCTTATAAAGCTATAGATAATATACGTACATATATGCGAAAGGCAAATTTATCTGTTTAAAAGAACACCAGTAATAAATGTTTCTTCCACACCCACATCGACTTACATCTGGGTGTAAAAAAATGTACAATTAAAGACCATAATAAGACGGAAGAAATATATTTTGTTTCATGTCACAGTCGTCAATGGTCACAGTTCAATTGTCATTATCGTGTCATCAACTGTTGTCATAGGTACATATGCACAGTCAATTATAGGTTTGTTCGTCGAGCAAAAAATTTGTACGAATTTGTACGAATTATCACGATTTTTGCCCAAATCGCGTTCGTGCAGACCAAAAAATTATCCAACACTCAAAAATTGTGAGAGCAAAGTGACAGTTC